TCTAAGATTTTAATTAATCTGAACTGTTGCAAAAACGCACCACCTTGATATGGCCATTCAACAAGTACATGTAGTCGACGTTGGATGTCGGAAAACTGAAAAGTGAGATAGGACCGGGTTGGCTGCAACGAGCCCACTTTTCATATTAATTGTTAGGCCATTATTTACACACTGATCTACGGATTTTTCATTACAAGGAGCACACGGCGGGTGTGACCGGTCGACAGGGGATGCTCACTCCTCCAGGGCACCTGATCCCACCTAGCTCTGATGTTTTAGAGGTTCATGTTTGTTGATTTGTATTATTTAAATGGAGCTTTGAGCTTAACTAGTGTACTGTATCCATGATTACAGATATTTTAGGACTTTTAATTCAATTTGCTTTTATAAAAGGTATTTAACAGAGGGGCTTCAAAAATACATATGGCATGATATGTATGGAAAAAATTCTGCGACGTCTCCCAAGAACGATGTGACGCTGAATTCACTGCGCCGGGTGACCAAACGATGCACAGTCTTTTCCTTTGTCATTTAAATTTTTAATGAGGTATTGGATTGAAATTTATAACGTACATATATAATCTTAAGTCAGTAATAAATATTAAGTGGAACTTCCAGAAGAATACATTAATTATTTATCTGGTTACATGTATGTGCAAAGGCTACGATTTAGTGGGACAATCTTTGTCGTTCGATAGCAGGCCCGTAGGAAGCAATTTCAGTTTCAGTGGGTGGAGGCACAACCAAACATTTTCAGTTTGGGTGGCACTACTAAGCAAAATTTCGGCCGGTTCCTACGGTCATAGATAGAGAGAAGTACTAAACAGATTTTTACCTTCAAGTTATAGCAAGCTTATATGATAATGTTGAAGAATTTAAATTTTCAGATAAAATTTCAAATACTCAGTCATAAACTCTTTGATTACCAACATGAGTGTTACCTGCAGAGCTGTAGCTCTCTGGTTGAGAAAATTCGTACAGGCAAACCAGAAAGCTACAGATCGAAGCATCGTAAATTTAAGGCGACGGTTTTTTTTTTTTTTTTTTTTTTTTTTGGTAGCTCGCTTCGGGTGTTATTTTTTGTATTTCTGTATAGTAAAATATGCGTTCACCCGCTTAATGTATGGTATCTGTTAATTAACCATATATTTAACTCTTATTCCTGATACTTTCTTTATTTTCCTTCCGTGCGCGTTATTTTAGCATGATCCCACCATATGGACATCGGAATGCGAATTTTAAAAAATGACATTCCAAGACCAAATATAGGGCTGTTTGTAACTGTTGAAAGGTAAATAAAGTATATCAGGAATACAAGTAAAGTATGGTTAATTAAATAAAATCATCCTTTAAGCGGTGAAATGCATATAATACAAGAAATTAAACCCGAAACGAGCAAAAAAAAAAAAAATAAAAAAATAAAAAAAATAGAAAATAAAAAAAAAATTAAAAAAAAAAAAAAAACGTCGCCGTAAATCGAAGGTTTTTACAAAACTTGGACCTATAGCACTCTGGTTTGCCTGTTCGAATCTCATGCAGAGAGCTACAGGTTTGTGTGTCCGAATCTCAGAAAACTACAGGTTTGTCTGTCCGAATCTCAGAGAGCTACAGGTTTGTCTGTCTGAATTTTAGAGAGCTACAGGTTTGTCTGTCTGAATCTCAGAGCTACAGGTTTGTCTGTCTGAATCTCAGAGCTACAGGTTTGTCTGTCTGAATCTCAGAGCTACAGGTTTGTCTGTCTGAATCTCAGAGCTACAGGTTTGTCTGTCTGAATCTCAGAGCTACAGGTTTGTCTGTCTGAATCTCAGAGCTACAGGTTTGTCTGTCTGAATCTCAGAGCTACAGGTTTGTCTGTCTGAATCTCAGAGAGCTACAGGTTTGTCTGTCTGAATCTCAGAGCTACAGGTTTGTCTGTCTGAATCTCAGAGCTACAGGTTTGTCTGTCTGAATCTCAGAGAGCTACAGGTTTGTCTGTCTGAATCTCAGAGCTACAGGTTTGTCTGTCTGAATCTCAGAGAGCTACAGGTTTGTCTGTCTGAATCTCAGAGAGCTACAGGTTTGTCTGTCTGAATCTCAGAGCTACAGGTTTGTCTGTCTGAATCTCAGAGAGCTACAGGTTTGTCTGTCTGAATCTCAGAGAGCTACAGGTTTGTCTGTCTGAATCTCAGAGAACTACAGGTTTGTCTGTCTGAATCTCAGAGCTACAGGTTTGTCTGTCTGAATCTCAGAGAGCTACAGGTTTGTCTGTCTGAATCTCAGAGCTACAGGTTTGTCTGTCTGAATCTCAGAGCTACAGGTTTGTCTGTCTGAATCTCAGAGAGGTACAGGTTTGTCTGTCTGAATCTCAGAGAACTACAGGTTTGTCTGTCTGAATCTCAGAGCTACAGGTTTGTCTGTCTGAATCTCAGAGAGCTACAGGTTTGTCTGTCTGAATCTCAGAGCTACAGGTTTGTCTGTCTGAATCTCAGAGCTACAGGTTTGTCTGTCTGAATCTCAGAGAGGTACAGCTTTGTCTGTCTGAATCTCAGAGCTACAGGTTTGTCTGTCTGAATCTCAGAGAACTACAGGTTTGTCTGTCTGAATCTCAGAGAACTACAGGTTTGTCTGTCTGAATCTCAGAGCTACAGGTTTGTCTGTCTGAATCTCAGAGAACTACAGTTTTTTTTTTCTCAACCAGAGAGCTAAAGTTTTGCAGCTTTACATGTATGAGTGTGTAATGCGCTCATCGAAATTCCTTGTAATATTTTTGTTAATCAAACTGAGCAACATTTCACTTAAATTCATGCCCTGAAAATATTGCAAAAATTACAGACCGTATCACTTCAAGCCAGACGATGGATAAAATTCGATCAGTCTAAAAATCATAAATCACAAATTAGATGTTTACATAATCAATGTAGATTCATGCATCTTCTGCATATTAATCCCAAAATTCAAGCATAACCAAATAAAAACGATATATAATTGTATATCGATTATTACGATATGACTTATAAAATGATTAATAAGCCTACAAGTTTATTTTGATTTCAGTATTGAATATTTCAAGATTTTTTTCCTTAGATGTATTTTGAATGCTTTTCGTGCAGTAAATACTTAAAAAAAACAATCATGAAAATGAAGTGTTCGAGTTTCCAACATGTGCATTAAACTGTATGAGTTATTGAAAGAAAATCACATACTACATGTAGTATTATGGTGATTTTCGGTTTCTTTTTAAACATATCTTAGACATGTTTATGGGTCTCTGGCTATAGATTTACAGCCTTATTTTGGAAAATTTTGAAAGATACATCCTTCAACAATATAAAGTAGAGGTAAATTAAAAAAAATACAATGATACCTAAAATGTATAAATAAAATGCTTTAAATATTGGCTAGGTAGAAAACACTTAAATGATCATAGCGTTTTGCACGTTCACATTTGCCTGGAGAAAGTTCTACGTTCATATTTATTTGTAATCAAACAAAACCAATTGGTACCTATAGTATAGATCCTATCTCTGTTTCATTTACATATACGGGGATTTAAAATGTATTAAATCGGTGTAAATGATGAAAATAGGCGATACACGTTTTGTTGATTCATAATACATTCATCATAATAAATATTTCTCCAAATGTATACCTTTTGTAGAATGTTTTATGTTCTTGTATTGACAATAAAAGTAGAACGCAAACATTTTAAATGTTTTGTCAGCGTCAGTTTTTTCTCAACAATTTTCTATGAATTATTCAGAAAAACGTATTTTACACCTGAAATTATTTAGATTTTGGATAAAAATAGAAATTTTTAAACAAATTAAAGGCATGACCTTAATGTTCTTTGAGATATCTGGTAAAATAGACTTAATGAATAATAAAGAGTATTTCACAAATATACTCACATGGACTTATTCTTATTTTGTTGTCTGCACGGCTTAATTTTACTTTTCATGTACATGTAAACTTGTTACTCTTTCTTTAGAGGTCAATTTGAAAACAGAAAATTGCCAAAATCATGATCTCGACGTATGTTTTTGACATGTTTTGCGTGACAAATTTCTCTGAATTTTCATTTAAATGTATATTGACTCCTCAATGCGTGGAGAGATATGCATGTATATCATCTGTCCAAAAAAAAAAAAAATATCGAAGAGATGAATAAAACTTAATGGAAAAACATAGCTGCAGGGCCTAATTGATGAGCAGAAACGCCAGAATCTATGTTGGTTTAAATTAAAATTTAAAAATTTTAACCCCCATTTCCTCAATGTAATAGTTAATCAAATAATTTAACAAAAAATCATGTAAACATGTGAAATTTTTCAAAAATTTATATATATATATATATATATATATATATATATATATATATATATATATATATATATATATATATATATATATATATATATATATATATATATATATATTAGAGAAATTCTGACACATTTGTATATGCCGCCATTGAAGTTTGAAATACATTGTGAAGATGACATATTTATATTATCTTCCATGTTTGTTTATGTTGCATTTTTCCGAGAGTCTTCATAAAGGAAATCCTTAACCTAATACATGTTCTATTTCTTGATAATAATCAAAATTTATTTTTGATAATAATATCAATAATAAACCATAAAAAAAAGTTCGTTTCCTCATCATGGACATCACTGTATCATATCTTTGTATTCATTTTGAATTTACTTTTTATTAATTGAAACGGATAAAAGACAATCTTTCTCGCCAAAAGACAAAAATAATTTTCGAAAACGCTTGCAGACAATATGTCAACAAACCCTGAGTAATTTACAAATTCCTTAAATCAATCGTGAGATTTGTATAGCCAAGATGTCCAACATCATAAGCTCAGTGGCCATAAATATTTGTAAAGATTGATTTCAGTTGTCAAAAATTGATCAGACAATCGCTTTAACTGGAAATCTTGGATCCAAAGGTTTCTTTCAATTGCACGTATTCATGTCTCTCACACAATGCAGGAAAAACACCAACAAGAGTAATTACTTTGTTTTGTAGAGTGTGATCTACGAATTTATTTACTGTCTCCAAGACCGTATAATGGAGGCACTGCGACTTGTTCTCGCTTAAACAGTGTAAAAGATGCAGCAAAAGATGTTATCGCTCATGGTATGACAAAAAGTGGAGCCATATTTGCGCATTTCACCTGTATTTTATCAAACTTCCATTTTTTGTTGTTAATTGTTCTTTTTCATGAATATATATACAGACAAGATATACAGTTTTGAGAGAGAAGATTTAAAAAAAAAACAAGTTTACAACAATTATAAAGATAAATGCTGTAGCAATTGATTCGTCAAATTTAACACCTGTTGCAAATGTATCGTTACATTAACATACATTAATATTAATTAACCAGAATTAACACTTTCTCGACTCATTGCTTAATGGTCCGTTCCATAGATACACCGTAAATAAAATGTCATTATTAAAATATACCTCTTTCAAAGTTTAATTTACTGAAATTTATTACCATTGCACTATACTATACTACTGTGAAAAATAGATAAAAGGTACAAACTTGGTTTGGTACTTTTATAAACATGTACAAGCAGATTTATGTACAATGTATAATGGAAACAGACAATTGTAAATATGTAACTGTGGTAAAACTATAACAAAATAAAGCATATAACAAGATTAAAAAAGAAAAGTATGAAATCAAATGCAAATTGTGAATGCAAAGTTACTTTTGCTGAATACATCTAAATGATCTAATATTTGTTAATGTAGGTAAAGACAGCACTGTGATACATGTATATATGTACAGGTAATTAGAAAATCATAAAAAAAAATGTCATGAAATGTGAAATAAATTATCATCATTATCGATATTCATCGTTAAATACGAGTTCATCCTGAGACCTATTACATTCATAACCGTCGCCGCACAGTCTAGACAAAATACTATAGGTTAAAATTATTTTTAAAAAGATACAGAATCACAAAGCGACCACAACGTTGAATAAAACGCGTATACTTCTATGTCGTATAAGGACCAGTACTATTTCTAAGTGTGATACTGAACAAATTCAGAAACTATACGACAATTAAAGAAAAGTGTCGTGTAAATTCGGGATGGGAACAGTTGCTTCTTGCAATATCACAAGGAGGCAATTCATTTGCACTCTTTTTCATTTCTCCATCGACAAAATCTCTGAGTCTGTCGGGTAAATTCAGGATGTCCAGACATATGTTCATCTCTGGCGAAATATTGCTTTGATCACAAAACATGTAATTTAATGGAGCTCAACTTCATTTGCACGTATGTTTATCAAGAAGAGTTTCGCATGTTTTGCATTTTACGTAACAACACCAAATAAATTTGCATTCACATCTTTCAACAAGTCTCACTACTTGAGTATTATAACCACGCCCACAGCACAGAAGGTCACAGCTGTCTGACCCTAATGACGTTTTGTTGCATTCACGTCCCTTTGTTCCCAGAATCCCCCTCTTTTTGTTCGCCTTACAATAATTTGGTGATCTGTGAACGTAGACTAACTCCATATTAGTGATAGGCACTCTTCGTTTCTTTTTTTCTGCTCTCTTTAATTTTCGCAAAGATCGTCTGGCAATTTGAATTGGTGATTCGTACTTCCGTTTTAAGGTATCTCCTATCGTCCGGAAGTCAGATAGCGCTTTCCAACAAGTCTGAACCGCGCATGATCCGGAAACTCCATGACATCGACATCTAAACTTCATAAGCTCTGCAACAATCTGTAATATACATGTAGTTTTGAAAAATCAAAATTATAACGTGAAAACGAAAAGTCTTAAATAAACTACCTACTTTCGAAAATTGGATCACTTTTGCAAAAGTCTGGAGAGAACAGAAGGAAACAATCATTCATGCCATAGTCCAGGTACGCGTCTAAACATTAAAGTTTTGAGACTGTAGAGATATTTTCGAGTCTTCAGGATATTTGCTTTAGTGGTGGTTTTAGTATTATATTTTTCGGTTCAAGTGATGAAAGACTAGAAACTTTTATAAAATTTATCGAACAAAATGTAAATATTACATTTGTTTGGATTCAAAACTAAAATTCAAACAAGGCTTGTAAATGTATCAAATGCATGAAATCTATTTCTTCAACTTAATTTAAAAATAATGAAATAATAAAATTGAAGAGATGTGTTGGTCTGTAAGGATAATAATAATTAAAACATCCAAATTATACGTTTAAATTAGTGAAAATTCAATAGTTATCTACAGTTTCTGATATCCTGCTAATATTAAAAACTAAATAAATTATTGCTTCACACAATCAAGTTTAAATTGTCCTTTTTTGTATACAAATGACAAATAGCTGCAAAGTTACTTATCTAATATTGAGATATTTACGTGTATTTTCTGAAAAGAGTAACAAAGGCATGGACGCGGTTTATATAGTTTGTCACAAATAAAATCATCAATTATGTCTTTCTAATTACGACTTAAATTTTAACAAATCCCTTCTAAACGTAAAGTAATTATTAAGAATTCGAAAAAGTCATTTGTAACAATGCTGATAATTAAAGAGTAGACAGGAAAAATGATATAAATCGAGGATTATTTCTTTGAAAACATTAAAATAAATGGCTTCTATAAAAAGAAATTAACCCAGTTGAAAGGACTGTTGTGTAGACTGGAGATTAAAGGTGATAAATTGTCTATGTTCCATTTTATTTTTGCGGTTTAAAATTTGTGATTAAGACATGCATTTAAACGTAGATATCATTTCATATATATATATAGATGCCGTGCGTACATGTACATCAGCTGCAACCTAAAAGCGTCCTTTGAAAATTGCATAAAAATGAGATTTGAACTTATATCTGTAAGTAATAAACAAGTGAAAAGTGACTTTGCTAAATGTATAAATGCTACATAATTTCTGTTCGAAGATGTATTGTGTGTGGGGTAATATTAAGAATGAATAATAAAACATTCGTCACAAATAAGATGGATGACTTGTTTGCTTGAATCATTATTTACTTTTATAACAAGCAAAACCGGCTTCTTAAATTCTAATTAATCTGTCAATTTCCCCTGGTAATCATGATTTCACGCATTTTCTTTTAGAATGAGAAAAATCTTTTGTAACATTGCTGTGTTTAAATAAAAAAAATGCATTTCTTCAGTTTAAAATGATAGGGTTTGTCTTAAATTTATATAATCAATTCTATTCTTTGAATATAAAAGAAACAATTTGTTAGACTTCTCACATATTATATTATATTTTTTTTTTATTTAAGGGAAACAATGTATGGTTATTTTATTTACGTGCATTTAAAAAAATAACCTTGGATTTTTTTTTCTTTGACGTCTTTTAAATTTAATTTTAGAAAAGAAAATCAATTTGTTTTAAAGTACGAAATATAGGTTATCCATAACCATAAAACATCGAGGGAATATTTTAAATAGTCATAAACTTGAAATAAAATTAAATGAAATGACAAAAATAAAACCATGTCTCGTTGCGTGTGGCTATGTTGCGGTGACCTCCCGCAAGTTGCTGGTAAACTATACAAATTCTAAGACACATCGATACATCACATGTAAATTTAAAAAAAAGAATACAGACGGCAATACTGTTTAAATAACCACGTGACTCATCACCAAATGAACAATTATTCATATATATGCAGAAATAAAAAAACATTTAGACTCATACAGTACTGAAAATTCCAAGCGATTTCTTTCCGGTGAATAATAATTGAATCCCGTTTGGGTATGTAGTAAGGGGGTTACCGCGGTGCAGCGATGAATAAATTAAGTTATCAATTTGTTAAATGCCTCATGTCTACATGTACATACCTTACGTAATTTGCACCTTTTGAGAACCAAGAAAAAACGTCCAAAGTCACAATAAAGGGTGGGTCATTAAAAGTTTCAGATTTATTTGATTTCAACCTGCACAGTCGTGTTTAATACACACTGAAGGTACATCAAAAATGAAGTGACATCTCAATACCTGTGCTCTAAGAACCCTTTCAGGTTCTTCAGTATCTTAATTAAAGTATGTACTTAGTGTAATGTAAACTTCACAGTGATTGGAAAATTAAAATATCTGAGCTAATATTGAATTGTATTTTCTCATATATTACATGTGTCCCCTGTGTCTTCTTTACTTGCTATATTTATAGAAAAATACTTAAATTTAAACTCATAATTTTCATTTTCATTTTCTTAAGTTTATTTTCTTGAGAGTAATAGCCTATTTATATATCAAACGTGTATGTTAAAGAATTCGTCATAATGCAAAGTAATTCGAAATGCGTCTTTACTGATTCCGTAGAGGCAAAGCACTGAAAAGTACATGTAAGCGTTACATGTATTTACACATGTACTGTACATGTGACTGGTTAGGGACATTTTGCGTTATACATGTATATAAACTAAAAAAAAAAAGAAAAAAAAAAGAAAGAAAGAAAGAGGGCGTACAAGGCGAGGACAATCCCTCGCTCTGGGACAAAGTATTTCTCAATTTTCAAAGTTCACGAAAATGTTATATTTTTCTAAAATGTTTTCAGTTACGTCATTTTCAACACATTTAATTCAATTATTTTATTGAATTACTTTTTGGTAGTTAATTTGTTTTTTAAAGTTGACAGTAAAGCATATTTAGTGGAAAATGGGTTTATTAGAGCCATAAAAAATGATTTTTGAATATGAATGGGTCAAGTCTCCACTATTAACGTTTTAATGACGGAAAAGTAAAATGTAAAATCTATTTCATGTTTTAAAAAAAATGGAGTCTGAACCCATATATGAAAATCGATCATTTCTGAAAAAAAATTAGGCTTCAACAAACCCGTTTATTAAAATCACACTAACAAAAAAAAAAAAAACAAACAAAAAAACAAAACAAAACAAACAGAAAAGCAGACTTCGTAGCGTAGTGGTTAACACGTTCAGTCTTACGCCTAACCGTGAGCTTTGGAGAGAGTTCGAATCATGCATGATTTTTTTTTTCTTTTTCACATACCTTAAAAACATTAGTGAAAAGTAAATTATTTGTCAATAATTTATTCAACAAAATATAGGAAGTAAATGTGTAAAAGAATATATTGACAATAAAATTTTTGAAAAATATAACTTTTCGTGAACTTTTAGAATTGAAAAAAGTGTTCTCTCAGAGCGGGGTATCGTCCGCGCATATATAGATGGTATATGGAGGATGCAAGAAGACAAGTTTCCACTGGGAACATACAGAAATGTGCGCAGAGATACCAACATGTGGAAGACAGTTAATAGTCTAATAAATCTAGTAAAGCATCTTTTTCGTAATTGAATTTGTCCTTGATTTGGAAATTTTTGATATGAAATACAGATCTCTTGTGCCTGCCGACATAAAGTCATTGAAGTGTAGTCAAGCCAAATTGCACTTATTAAGAATCATACACAATTAAATCGCCGGAAGTTAAACAATTGCACTGGCGTATGGTTACATGTGTAGTGCAACGATGTTAGTTGAGTTTGTATAATGGCCTACTTCCTTTTTTAAAGGAAGAATTATCTTGTTTAGTAATTATTTTGAAGAATGATACAAGATGCTGGATAGTCTCAGAGAGATTTTGAAAACTGGTCGCATGAAACTCAACCGTGTCCATGAGAGTCTGGAGAGTACGGGATAATTTCAGTGTGTCTATACTGTCATTGCGTGTTGTGTACCCCAATGTATCATATACTAGCCAATTTATCACTTAGACCCAGACAAATTAGTTTTTTCTGGACGGAATAAGTTTCAGACAAAAAAAATTAATATTAGCAGACGGGACTCTCATTTTTAGTCAATAATTAAAACAACTTTTTATGGGTGCCGATTTCATTTGATCACTGGTCTGTTGTTGGCACATGAACATACCGGAATCCTCTCTACCCCTCTATATTGCAGGACATTAAAAGGACGAACAAACAATTTCCAAGCTTTTATTCTCCATTGGTTCTAATATATTTTTATAACATAGAAACTCGACATTAACGGAACTTTAAAGGAAAAGAATATGGACATTAAGTTTTTGTCTCCGAATCCTAATTACTATGCAAATAAAGTTATTCAAACATAGCGCCTCTCTGCCAATTGATCAAAAATGGATACGGGTCTGACCTGACTAAGAGAGGCCACATAAAGGGGAAAAGTACTTTGTTCAAAATACTTATTCTTCTGCAATATTTTAAGTTTTTTCTGCGCTGTTAATTCCTTTTAAAGTCCTTATAGTATTGTCAGCAGAGTTCCTTAAAACTATATATAAATCATGGTATACACCAGCCCGGAGCCTCCCCCCCCCCCTTTTTCGAAGTCGCCCCCAAAATGATCTCAGTGATATCCTTTTGGTGACCAGAAGAGTTCATATTATCGCCGCCTATACATGGCTATTTTACGAGGGTTTATAACTCTGTTAAATAGAAATATTTTCCCTTTCATCTTTCAAATTGACTTGCGCTGTGTCCCTGTTGTGCGATATGAGGATAATCACTGTTTGCCTCCTTAGTGACGCGGCAGTGTGGAAAATGTCATACTTTTGCACCGTACCAATAAACACTGGGGTTACTTCCCTTCATAATGGCGTTCTTTTTGTTCTCTGAATAATTTTACTTAACCCTTGGTGTTTCATTAACAGTATACGCAGCTAGGTTAAGGACTCCCATATATACGTCAGCCAATGCAGAGGTTCGGTAATGCTATTATGACGTCACGTTAAAACAATACAAATGAATCTCGATGAATAAATACTATATGTTCTTTTTAAAACACATTAAATACTTTCGTTTATCATTAATATTATAAAGATAAATGGATGTGCAACTTATCTTGCCATAATAGCACTTAGCGTATGTAGAATGAAAGCCAGCTTGATCTCGCTGTACTTACTGAGATGACGTCATTTCTTAGTTTGACACGCAGTTTCTCTGTACTTGAGGCGTGGATCAAGCTTTTATCGTAGCTTGTAAAAATAAAAATAAATACGAAACACGCGTAGTCGGACCAAAAGAGAGAAATATTCTGAAATATATTAATCCACATTTTATTGTCAAACTAAATTGATAATGTGTAGACTTTATATTAGGCCGTAGGGAGCACATTTGTACAGTAACATGCTAGAATGACAGGTCCAGCCCCTCGAAAATATCAAAAGTTCAACGATATCCGCTTCACTATAAATTCTAAATTTTTAAACACGTGTAGCTATTATCCCTACTATTCTGAAAAGTGCTGGGAGCTGGTTGTGCTTTGTTGATTTATTCCGTAATGTAACATTATTCCAATGCGAATTACATTTTTGACTGGAGTTTTTAGAAAGACGGCTAAATTTCAAACAATTCCCGAGCATGAGGAAGTTGCTCCCAGCACTTTTCGTGTTAAGGAATTTGTCTCAAAGAAAACAGAATAAATTTTATAGCGTAAAAATGCCCGTATATCGTTGAACTTTTACGATCTTTGTAGTAGTACATATATGTTCTAATTTTAAAATTGTCACGTGACAAACAGCTGATGTAAGCGATGTCGTTTTGGCCGAACTCAGCAGAGACCCGATATATACAAGTGCAAACACCACATATCACATTTATCAAAACTAATGCTGTTAAAAAAAAATATTAAAATTGTATTCATTTTCCCTGAATATATTAAGGCGTATATTTCATGGGCGTCCTTAACCTAGCTGCGTATGAAAAGATTCTATATATTTTTCGTAGTGGAAAGGTAGATATAATATATTTAATGATATCATTCATTCGAATTTATCAATGGTGAGCTTGGAATTCTTATGAATGGTATTTTATCAAAAAAAAAAAAAAAAAAAAAAAAAAAAAAAAAAAAAAAAAAAAAAAAAAAAAAAATTAATGTTATGTTTGAATGGGAAAATACATCTTATGGAATTTCATTTTTGATAACAACTGAATTAATATTCTTGAAAACCATGATTTTCAAAGATCTGGACAATTGATCCAGCTGAAAATGACCCAAGTTTAAATAAGTTACAAAGTAACCTGATTTTAAAAAAAATTGAGTCCGATATATTTTAAGGGAAAGTTATATGTTTGATTTCAAATTCAAGCTAAATTAACGTACAACAGAATCTCCTAATGTTATACATGTATAGAGTGAAACATGCACGGAACTAAATTTATGACTTGTACTTCAAAAGAATGTCTTTAAAAATGATAAAATCTAGAACTTAATGTAAAAAGGATGTTGTTTCTTGTCTAAGTCCTGGAATAATAAAATAAGAGAAAATTCTAAATGTTCCTTACATGAAAGTAACCACAGTAAATCTTTGACCTCTGGCGCATGCGACACGTGGTTAGATAAATGATTGGGAGATTTCCAAACAAATAACCTGTTGTCTGATCCTATCTAGAACTCTTCAAACACTTCTCCAATTGTTCATTGATATCTATCTGACCACTTCAACACTCTCTCGTGTTTTTGACTACCCGGGCATTTGAAGGTACGGTAGTTTTGATTCTTCTGATCATTTCGACTTTCAAACAAGATGATAAATCGAACCCGATCGGTAAATTTTCCAGATACAATACCCGTGGATTAGGGTCCGTTTGAAATGATATAATCTAGACTTAAACAGACATCTTCTGATCTGTCTGAAACTGTTCTTGTTAAAAATAGATTTAATCTGGGAGTAAAAATATAACATTTTTTTACCAGACAGTTTAGTGCAACTATTTCTTAACGAAAGAGAGTTAAAGAGATTTAGAATTATCGATGGAGAGGTGCAGTATAACAGTTTCTTTGAAGAACGTGATGGTGACGCAAAATAGACATTCAAATACTCAATGATCAGAAGACGGTAATTACCGTAATTATCAATTTAAAAAGTACATCTTTATCATTGATTTGCCTCCTTTTTTGGTATATCTATATCGAGATATGATCTCTGGTAAATTATTGTCCTTTCTAAGGTGGAATCCATCAACAGATTTAGATAACATCAAGACGCGATAATGCTTTTTTACTAAGAGTATCTCCAATTCAGCTGAAATGTATAAGTGATCTTCCAGATGACACACGGGACCAATCTTGGAATGATAAACGTACCCCTGTCTATATACAGCCATCACTGAAAAGGAACCCCTTTCTCTCTAAGAATAAATAAGATATCAGTTTCTTGACAAAACAGATAATTATGAGTATCGGATTGACCTGGGTACGGTAGGAATGGAGTGACACGTTGTTGTAACGAGAATGGAGCACAAACTCGGAGGGTACAATTAGGACCTTAATCACAAAACCCCAATCTGTTCCACGGACCCGCCTCTCCGATATTTACCCCTCCTCGCATTACATGGTATTGTTACCCCCCGTTTCTTGTAATTTATTACCCCTGTTTATTTTTTTCTCATGAAGATCTTTATGTAGAAAATTTGAACTCAATGAAATTTTATGAATACTGTAATCCCCTGCAGAAAAGAAAATGATACAAGTATCTTTACTTTAAAACGTTTAATTAAAAATTTAATACCAGCGCACCAAGGGTTTCATACGTAATTTTTCTGACAACACTACTTTAACACATTGTTAGGTTTTATTGGCATAGTTTCGACAGATGATATTTCAAAGTGTGAAAGAATTAACAAGAATGTAATTTTAAGATCGCATGTAACACCAATAAACATATTTAATAGTTCCAAAATCCGAAGGAAATATTATCATTGTCATTTGATTATAAAGCAAAGCCCCAATAACTTTATTCACTTTTACATTAACTTGTACATTTTATATTAAAACAATGTATTTTTAGGAAAGAATTCAACTAAAAAGGTAGAGCATGTATTTAGGAATATTTTCCTGAATTTTTTTTCTTGCACAACACGTTTAATAGCTTTTATTTAAATTCTTAAGCTGTTTTTGTTGATTTTCTAAACAAAGATCTAAAAGCTTTTAAAGAATTTTAAATCACTATTTTTTGGAGTATGGGGGGGGGATTTTTTAACCTCACCTGATTTCCTCGATTAAAATTAAAAGTTAAATGAGAATGATCCCTTAAATGAAATAGATTACCTGGGATGATGACATTCACCTTGAAAATAAAAATTTAGATAATGATTAAAATAGCTCATATAGATTGCAAGAGTTATGGAGTGTATAAACACTGACCTGATTATTTTTTTTACGTGAGAGACCAAATAGTTCATACATGTATATTAGATCAAAGAGTTACTGAAGAGATGATTTTTTATTCGGGGTGGGGGGTAGTTAAAATTTTACTGGATTAAGATAGTATCTATACTTATGAATTACAGAAACAAGTTAGAACAAGTGTCAAGAAGAACTAATAGAATAAAAAACCTTTTGCTACATTGTAGCATATGTCACAAAATGACTGCAATTACATTTGATATCAAGTTAGTGAATACATACGTTTTTAAGTAAGTAAGAAAATAAATAAGTAATGAAGTAAGTAAATAAGTAATAGAAAAATTACCTGTCGACCCACTTCATAATTATGTAGGTTCATTCTGTTCCGAATATTAGCAGATTTTTCAGTACGTTGCGTTTCCGATGCGTCAACAAACTGACGGCTAAATTCAATTCCATATTGAACATTGTCACTACATCCCCCCCATTTCCACCCCTCCACAGTATGTTCACCTTCACGTACACTCACATCACACGTGCACGCCGTTAGATTTCCCGCCGTGCATGCTTGCGTCACAGAATGCACGACACCCGCACTTAGAATTGAGTATATAAATGCTGTCTCTCTTGTACCTATGAACAGATAAAAATAAAAATTAAACATGAATTAATCGGATTCATATAATTAAATATATGAGTTGTTATCACTTCACTTTTCTTACGTCATTTTTTTTTTAAGAGAGAAACTATTTAGAATAGGCATTTTGCCTGCTGTCCACGCCCTTCAGGTATAATGACGATTTATAGACATGTCAGTTGATTCTCTAAAATATTTTAAATTTTGAATTTACTGCGTGGCAGTAAATGACAAATTAATAACATGACAGATGGAAGAAAAGATATCACCAGTAATTAATAAAAATTCGAAGAAAGAAATGCAGACATATTCAGCATAATTATCTTTTATTTCAAGGTAATTCTCTATCATATATTCCCTGATGTTAACCCAAACAGACCCTTTATAGGTATTTTCTATATTGTAAACGTTTGCACTTTGCACCTAGTTCTGTGTTTTGCTTACAATATATTGGAAAAGAGTCCTAATACATGTATTTATTCAGATAAAAAGAAAAATACTGTTTTAAATGTAACTCGATATAACATTCCAAATAACACGCTGGGTTTTGTAATACAGAGTTTACAAAATGTAATTTAAGGGATAGCATTCCTTATAAAGTAGGCCGTTTGTTACTTCTGTTTAATTCCCTAATCTTCCGCTAAAGTTGATCTGAACACTGCGATCCTGGTGTATGGTACATTAATTTATGCTAATCTTCCTTGATCCTCTGAACTCTTTTTCAGTTAACTTTGCTCTATTTATCAACGCTTTCGACAGAGGCTGTCGACGCGGTTTTGGAGAAAAAAATTTGATGTCTAAACTGTCCCCAACTTATTGGTCGGTTAAGCTGTGATAATCCCGAAATAATAAACAAGTGAAATTAACATTTTTGCTTTCAAAGATAGATCTCTTAGTTGTCAAGGTTGCCTCCAATTTCATCTTGCGCTTTGAGAATTGTTAATGAACAGCATGTACATGTATAACTAAAGATAGGTCTAAAACAATAAAATGCTTTCTTGGGTTGTTAGTATGGGAATTAATGTTGCTGCGGTTGCAGAAAAAATACATAACCCGCGTACGCAGGTTATGTACTTTTTTCTGCAATAGCTGCAACATTAATTCCCATACTATATAACAAACAACAGGCCCGTAGGAAGCAATTTCAGTTTGGGGGGCACAACTATACGTTTTCAGTTGAGACTACCAACTACCAAAAAATTCCTTGACAAGCAAAAAACAAAAAAAAAAAGTCATCAGACGTTTTCATTGAGGGGGCACAAGCTATGTTTTCTATAGTCAACTATATATCGGCAAAATTATTGTTATTGGAGGGGGGCACGGTCCCCCCGTGCTCCCCCCCCCCCCGTTCCTACGGCCATGAACAAAGAAAGACGTTCTATTGTTTAAATTCATTTCTGTATAAATAATCCTATAAAGTACACTGTATATAATGTGGGTTTAAGTACGTTAGATATTGTATTAATATGTACGTCATTGTATGTTTCATTGATGGAAGGGCCACTGCATGCTCATGGCTCAAGAAGTTTGCTTAGCGGCGTTAAAGTGTTTATAAACGACCTTTCTTTGGTTTTCGTATGAAATAAATGATATTATATTCGTAAATATTACACTTCATATACATTTTCTAGTTGCAAATACGGTATATCCAATGCAATAATTGAAAGCCCAATGGTTTTTCATGTAATAAAAGTTTTCCTTATTTTCAAGGAAGAGATTGAATTTTGTGCTGTATAGATCTGAACATGTTCAACTTCTTACAACAAGTCTGTTTGATATTTTTGGTTATATATTTTTCACTAAGATCGTAGAAAGTCCTAGGCTGTACGCTATGCAGAAGATATGCAGATGCTGGAATAATTCAAACTCGAATAAACTTTTCAGTTTTCTAAACATCTATGAAATACTATCACAGTGGTATGTATTCAGATAACCAGGAGGGCTAATATAAAGTCTAAAGCTCTACTTTCTTTGGAGAAATTTTTAGTTCATGGCAAGAAAATTTTTCATATGTAGCAAGATACTTAAATACATGCATGCATATTTTTGAGTCGAGACAGAAAACTAACCTTCAGTTGCTGCATTGTATTTATAGTGCGATTATCAAATTTGTAGAAAATCGGTAAGCATATACATGTACATGTGCCTATTCCTCTTCACAAAGAGAAAAAGGCTTATAGAAATACATGCTGCCTCGTTAAGGAACAAACCTGTCCAAAAACATCTTGTATACATATGTACAACAAATCATTGTCAAAATACAATACTCAAATATCTTGCAACAGAGATAACGTGATCCGCCTATTGTAATACTTATTTACAACAGATGGATTTTGAGATCCGCTCATTATGATAGGCGTGTGAACTAGTTAGAGTATGTTTACCGTTTGATAATACTTCAGATTTCGTTTCGGGGTGGTCTACCCCCACATTCATTGTCCTTAATCCACCCCTGGTTGATATCTCTACTATATCAAAGAGTTGCTGATTTATACACGTAGATAGTCCCCTTCTGATCTGGGGAGGTTATGCTTGACAGAAGATTTAAGACCGTTATGTTTTAGTGAAGATACAGTTATCTATCTTTTTAAAGTCAACTATTCAACAATGACCTTTTTTGTAAATGTTTACAATTTTATTTTGAAATTGAAATACATAATAGTCTGTTTTAAAAGATGTACAATAATAGATACTATCGTCGAGATATATATTCAACAATGAAAGAATCCTTTTAAAATAATAAATTAAAATCTTTAAATGACATACATATGTGCTGACCTTTCTTTGTTCTACTTTATTTCCTATAGGTACAAAGCTGAAACCAAATAAGATTGACTGTTTATAAAGTACAGTGTACATCAATCAATTTATTATTTTTTTTTAAGTTAAGCCTCGAATGAACAGTTTTTTCCCTATACCTACTATGTTTAACAAATCACTTCAAACATTTCATGTCATATTTGATGAAACATGTTTCTAATAATACTAAGAATTCTTGTAATTCTTATTGAGATCGTCTTACCATTTATAAACCCCTTAGATATAACAGCCAATTGCTAGACATTTTCTTTAAGGAACCTTCGTGCGCTCTAAATTTTTCAGCAGTGTTTTCGCTTGTATTTTCTTACATCTATATGCACCAGCACTTCGTAATTTTTTTTTTCTCTTTTGCAAAATGTAGATCAGATAACAATTACGCTCGTTAAGTTCCCTCTGAATTAGATGTAAATCAGATTACGTGTCAAACGGTAACACACAAGATGTAATGGGAACCACGTGCTTTCATGCATAGAAGTGAGTAGCTTTCCTTCATATCATTAAAAGAACAAAGTTATGAAAATATGCATGTTATAAAAAAAGTCTCTTAGATGAAAAAAACGTTATCAGACCGCTCAAACTGTTTTCTGCTGTGTTAAATGTGCAAAAAATATATGAAATCAATATGTTCTGCCTTCCTTCTATTTTATAAAAAGATGATGCATCTAAGAAACTTCAAGTACATAATTTCGCGATGATGAAGGGGAAAATTAAGTAAGTGTTATGATAATTATCAAGAAAGCATCTTTATTACTTCCGAAAAAATTCTAAATTATTAGAAATCAGACAGTCCCTTGACCATTTAACGAGATATATTTATGTGATAACTTGGAAGAAAATTGATGTATTTTATTTATTTCAGTTCATTTCTGACATAAGTACGGAGTTGAACGCCCATATGAACTTTCATCATACAGGTTAAAACGTGAAAATCAGCCCATTAAAATTGCTATCTCTATTCAATAGAAATTTGTGGGAAAAGATGAAAGATTTTTTTTGTTTTCATACGGTGCTCTTTCCTTCTCAAATAAAGGTTGTAAAACGCAGATTTAGTGATACTCTGTACGCGAAGAAAACTTATTGAAAACATAACCGTTTTCTTTGTAATTTAGTTTAAACGTTATGTAATGTTCTACTTAAACAATAATAGTCCAAGAATTGTTCTATTGTGTTTTACCCCAAGATCTGTGATCTTACTTTTAAGCCAGCAGACACTCTCTATTTTTGTCGTTTTTTTTAGAAGAGTGAAAGCAATTCTTTATAGGAATAAGATAAAAGAATCTAGTATTACTGAAGACCATACTCGATACCCTCTCAAGGCCTAGAAACACATGCACAAAAACCATTATTGACAACAGAAAAAAATATTGTTTGATTTTCGTCTCTTATAAAAGTTAAGAAAAGCCTAAACCCTTTTTATTCCAGATTTTTTTTTAATTTTTAAGTTGTACTTCATGAATCTACAGTTATATTTTTTGATTTTTTTCTTTTTTTAAAAAAATGATGAAAATTGTTTATTTCAAGAATAGTTACAATTAAGACTTTTTTTTCTTATGAACTTCTTAATATTTCTTTATCAACTGTAAGTAATTAACTTTTTCATGTATAAAACAGGACGTTACGAAATATTCAGCAAGATAGGGTAATTTTTTCCCCCGATTTCTCTTCTCTCTCTCTCTCTATTTTAGAAAATTACAAAAATTGTAGCAATCTTAGTCTGTATCTTCGGAATGCCTCGGCATCGTTCTATTTCACGCTTCACTGTACTGGAAATTAAAACGTTTTATGACGACAATTGTGAGGCAGAAATGAATGGCTTTTTATTGAGAGGGATTACATCCGCTAACGTTCACACACAAATGAGAAACATATCAGACCACGAATCATTTAACGTTTATGCCTACTCCAAAGAGAAGAGGACTCATTATCGCGTTCAATTTACCGAGTACAAGTTTGATGTCATTCACAGGTATCTATAGATAGTCAAAAGGCACCTTCTTGTTAGCAAAGATGAATGAAAATGAAAACTGAGCGAATGTTTTCATATGCTGTCAACGTTGCATTAAGTGGCATAATTCATCTTACAAAGGTATATTGATAAGCATTACACTTTTTAAACTTTCTTTATTTTAAGGAAATTAATTCTCTAAACATTTTGTACTCCATTACACACACGACTGAATTACACATTATTTTGATAATTGTTTGATACACATAAGACAACTGGAAACTTCGTTTATGACAAGCTTCTTAAATTTAGAAGTACGGGGTTAGAAAACCAGAAATGAACAGCTGATGAATGGAATGAAATTTTTCAAATGAAATAGACGCCTGACAATTAAGATTCCAATAAAATTTACGTTGTTTTTTAATGCAAAAATGTTAGTGATAATATTACATGATGTGATAAAAGAAACTGTTTTACGATACTTTGAGAGTTTGATCTACAATCGCGTCGCGGTGTATTACGTCTGCTATCAGTAGCTGCGAAAGATTAATTCCCGCCAAAGGGACGCAGGTCGTCTGCTAGAAGCAAGTGTCGCGGGGTTGCCAGTCTCGTAAATTTACTTGATTATATTGAAGCAAGTCCTATTTACATAACAACTGATCCCTATATTCAACGAACTAGATAAATGAATTCCTTCAGGTTTCAATAAATAAAAAAAAAAATGTCCTACCCGAGACAAACACCCAAGGTGAATTATTTTTACCAGCGGAGGGATATGATGGCAAAGGGATGCAAAGATACCAATGACACAGGTCAATGAGTTCAATTTTGTTCACACCTGATTAATTTATGCAAATTAAGAATTGATGATGAATACGGTGAAAGAAAGTCTGGAGATTAAAATGCAAAATATTAATCACGGTCATTTACTCTTGAAGTGTTGAGGTTGAATTTGGAATGGCATACAATTCTAGCTTTCACTTCTTAACTGATCGATGTCTATCTTCTACTCTGTAATACTGAACACATACAATTACTTTACTAGTAAACAACAACAACAAAAAATGAATAATTAAATGAATAAAAAAAAAATAAAATAAATGCGTGAACCAAGCAAAATGAATTTACTTTTATATATTTTGAACAGAATTATTTAACTACTTGACAAAAAGAACTTTGGTAAGAGAAATTGATAGCTTGATCGTATATTCATTAATAGTTCAAATATGATCAAGTATCTGTATCTTTTTGTTAATCTAAAAGTTGGACAATTTATAAACATACCTTCCACTAAATTAAAAAAAAATCTCTTTCAATGTCAATTTGTTTAAGGACACTGGAATGACATGTCAATATATTGCACATTTTCAGCATGACAATGAAAAGCAATATATGACTGGTAGAAATAAAGCACAGGCTTTCTCTACAAGGAGACATTCTTCTACAATCTGGATTGTTACATTGCTAGCAGGTGCGCGGAGGGGGAAAGACAAGCGACAACTTAAACATTTATTGTCCCCTTACACCAACCCCCAATTCAACAGAACAGCATTTAATGTCCGAAATATTTCACATCAAAGATTCTCAATTCGAAGCATCGAGAGCTCGTGTTTGTTTTAAATGTCAGAACATAAAAAAGTGGTCAAGTACGTTTTTATAGAAAGTTGTGAAAGTTTAAATAGTTGGAATACTTTGTATATTCACAAGCAAATAAAAGTTTCTTTTCCAAGGCATTTTCTTGTTGTTTCCATTTGACTTTGTCAGTTAACATATAAGCCTTAGCTTTGTTCCCCCACCCAGCGAGGTAAAGCGTGGGAAATATAAGATAAATACTCTTGCATAACCTTGTGTGTAAATCTGTTATGAATTTCTTGTTTCAATATCAAAGGATGTTGTATCATAATTAGTTATGAACATATGATAGGATTTTTGTTAAGTTTTAGAACTGTATTCAGAGGCTTTGAAGATAAAAGGTTTTGTAAAAAGTCCATGAAAAAAGGTCAAAGTGATTTTTGTCTTTTCCCCTTGTTTTTTTTTTTGCTTTTTTCTCAAAGTCTGTGAAAAATGCAACGTTAACATTCATAGGACGGCAGTATGTCAGAATTTCTTGCTATTAAACATTGTATTATATTCCTTCCATACTAACATGAAGGCAGAGGTAATGATTAAGGAAATAAAACTCTTTTACAAAAATCCATGGATATAATATTACCTTTTCTCAGCACGTGTCCAAAAATGGAATAATTTGAACTCAGGGTGCAATTCCACCTCTCATTTCGAAATTGAGCCTGACATTCGTAAATCGCTTTTTTCGCCCCTTCGCTGACGCTCCTTAGTGCCTGTGGGTTCTGTATGCATAGAAGATTTTTCTGTTTGTCAACAAGACCCGGGAAATTGCTGCATGAATTCTCCTTTGGTACGGTAATTGAGGAAACGCCTAAATACCTATAAGAATAAAAATTTCATCGAATGTCTAAATCTTCTCAAAATATTTTCACGTATTTCTTGCATAATTAATACTTAACTAGAAAGTTATTTCGCGATAGTGAGAAAAATGTAACGTCATAAATATTATTTAAAAATGACATATTTTGATAAAAGTGTGATATGAAGCACAGAATATTTTGAAATACACGTGTTTTCAGCCGCTTGATGTAAATTAAGATGTTAACGTTCTTATATCATGCAGCTTAAAATCAACCCCCCCCCCCCCAAAAAAAAAAAAATGCTCAATCAACTTAAATTTTTTTAAAAATACAATACAAATAAAAAAAAAAAATGATTTTCATGGCATTTAATATCTACATAGCATATATATGTCTGATTGAAAAAAAGTGTATAATTTGAATCAAGATTTCTACTAGAGCGCAACGTCTGGGATTAAGATCTCCTACAGTATATACAATGCATTCATGGTAATGCAGACATCAAATTTATTTACTTGTAAACTTATTTTCAAATAACTACATAGACACATAACACATCAGTTAGCTTAGAAACCAAGCCCATGGTAAAAATAAAATTATATTATGGAGCCTAGTTTTATAAATACACTACCGACCGTGAATTTACTCACAATGGCCTTTTGTAAAATGAGAAAAAGTCATAATTTCTCTTGACCAAAAACTGAAGTAATTTGGGATCATTTGATATACACAGAACTGAGTTTTTACGCATAATTTTTGGATAGTTTATTTTTTGCACTTTCCGATGCATCGAGTCGAGAAATTTGTCAAACTGTGGCACAATAAGCGAGGATCTTCAATCATTATCTATACACGAAAGTGAATTAGCCGTGTCTAAATATGCGATATAAAGTTTCCAGAAGCCAAACACTGTATATCACTATTATAAACACCTGATATTCCAACGACAAACATATCAGCTGGAAAAAAAAATGAATGTACGCGAACGCACAGACACATTTACTTTCTTTTTCGAAGTGCGGTGTTACTTGCAATCAAAAGATAAAACCTTTGGTGCATTAAATTGATAAAACAACGATAAACATGTATACAATTTGCTTTCTTTTTTTAAATTTCATTCCGATGTGTTTTCGTAGTATCGTCTATCGTGTCAAAAAACGATACAAATTAGTCCACAAGTGGTAGTTATTAGCACCCAAAGATGTGACTTAAAATATATTAAGCTCTTACACGCTTTGTCAGTTTGCCTCTAAATTGTCAAATTTATCAACTTGAAACCATTCATGGTAACGATAAATGATTCCATGTTTAGTCAGCACCTTGAAGACCAGGGAAAAATTTTGGGTCGACATTGTGAAGAATTTCCGCACGAGACGGGTAAACAGGATACTTAGAAGAAATACTACCCTGCACGTACTCACGTGCTTTAAAATATTTCTGTTAAACTTTGTAGCTTATATGTCACAAAACTCAAAATTACTTCTTTCTTATACCAACCTATTCTTATTCGGAAAGTTTATGCACGTTCAAGAGATCAATCAAAAAACCGAATTATTACGATTATTGATTGTTTTGACGCAAATGCATAATGGAAAGATATGATTATCATTTATACTTGAAAAAAAAACTTTAAGGAAAATTATTAAAATATACAATTAAACTCTTATGTATCTTCCAATGCATATTTTTAAACAATAAGTTAGAAAGACCCTCTAAATTTTGTTAAGTTTATAGGAATAATTAAACACCATTATTACTTATTTACTTACATCCAGTTACCAAAGGAGTGTGATGGTGAAATAAGAACCCATAGAAAAAACAGAATACACAGGCAAGGCTCGACAGAATAATTATCCATCGTCATCACGTTAAAGAAATCCAATCCTTAAAACGATTAATATCCGGAAACACTAGGTATCGATACATTGAAGATGATTTTCTGTGTCACAAGTGCCACTGATACACCTTAAGCACCTTTATCGTCATTTAGTATGCATGGGGGTTTACCGAACTCTATAGTTAGGATACACTGCAATGTTACAGGTAACGCGATTGGTTGATCTACTTGTCACGTGATTTTTATGACTGAATTAAAGAAAAAAGAAAATAAATATTGCTTTAAACGATGAATTTCATTGAAAGACGAGTAGGTAATACAATTTACCCACGCAGTTGGAACCTGTTTTCTTTCCGTTTTATTTGTAAACATAGGAAGCCTGTGTGTGGAGAAAAATCAACATATCACAGAAGTGAAAATATTCTCTTTCCGCAAACGCGCTTTAAACACAAACATTTCATAAATGCTTCAATACCAGTGGGGTATTTTCTAGTAATAATGTGAAATTAAAACAAATTTTTCGTCAACTGTTTCAACAGGTTCACTTCGTGCAGCTCGTAAGATTTTTCAGGGGGTAGTTCATGATCAGGAATAAACCGCGCGATAACACCGTTTATTATTTCCTTTCATCTCATTGTTTTACAACGCAGGTGCGAGTTTTGTGTGCGACATAATAGTGTGATTTTATATTCCTCTTTTAATACATGTATCTACACATCTTGATTTATTATACCTATTCCTTTTCCTTATATATACATCTACAGACTGTATTCCTATGGAACACAGAAATTCTTTTTCAAGAATTTTCACATCAAGTATTAAACACTTAAAAAAATAAAATCATAAAGGTTTATATGAAAAAGACTCTTAGTTCCTTTTTTACTTAGATTGATGATATTTTGAATATGCACAGTCTTCCTATTTCTCCTTGTTCTGTAAGTCTTATTTACCACTCAATTGCATGATTTTACATGCAGATATCTTAAAGTTTATTATCAGTTTTAGTACAAATTAAATGATTGATGTATGATGAAATAAATATTTGATTTAACCAATTTTAGACCCACAGGGCTGAAAATACTCTTGTTATTTTGTTAAGAAATTAATAAGACACGAACAAATTAATAATAAAATGACCATTAACACGTCAAGTAATCAAAGTGTGACCAAAGGCAATTCTGGCTGTACAATTAGCAGGTTATCATGTTTTGAATGTGTTCGATTAGACAGACACGATCGATCAATTGTCCGTCAACAAGTTGTCTCTTAAATCTCGTATGATCTATTTTATGATTGAAGTTAGGGGGACACACACGACGTGATCTTCGCGAGACTTTATCCGGTAGTCGCCAAAATAATATAAAAAAGGAACCTTGTGGGATTTATAGATAATGAGCATCATATATGTATGTAAAAATGATGTTTTATTTTAGTGGAGTTATCTTCGTAGACATCCTTATACCGGTATGTGCATAAAGTGATGGCAAGATCGACAATGTGCATGCAATTTTTCTGAAGACACAAAATATTAAATACTTATTAATGAGGGGGAATCTAGGAAAAGTTTACCTCTTTTTATCACGTAGCTTCTTAGAAGCTATGTATTAGGAAAAAAAATAAGAAAACCCCATATCGGAAATCGGAAATGCATATCATAAACAGTGAACAGGGCACGGTAGCCTAGTGGTAGCTATAGGATGTTCGTTTCGTGATCGAGAGACCTGGGTTCGATTCTCCTTCGCCTCGCCGCGTTAAACCTAAGACGCAAACATACAATATGTAGTGACTGTTCCTTCGCCAAGCGACCGGCACTAAAAAATCTCGTGTCTTTCGGATGGGACATTAACAACCGAGTCACGATAGGCGTTGGCACGAAAAGAATCCTCATTGTTCAATGGCCCTGAGTGTCTGTTAGAAGTCTAAATTTGAAGCCCTTCACCGTGACGTCTCTATATGAGTGAAAAATTCTCGAATTGGACGTTAAACAATATATATACAAATCAATAAATCATAAAAGGTGTCAGCTTACAAAGGATAAACAAATTATTCACTGACCAGTGCAAATAATAATATTAATAAAATTAAATCTAATAGATACTAGTATGATTGCATAATTTTAGATCATTACTGTGTGGCCTTGACTTTCGAGATTTGGCATAGAATCTTGAATATCACAAATTATAGATCATCTGAAAAGCATGATCAATTTGGAAATTTATATCAATCAAGGATTGAAAAGTGACTCTCCTGATAATGCATCATGATATCATTGTGCTGTGACACTTTAAACATGTAACCTCGAACCATTACACCTGTGGGTCATTAACAACAACGTACTTAAGTTTGAATATCTTTCCAATCAAAAGGGTTCTAGAATTACAGCTCGGAGACCATTTCACTTAGCTACAGATCTGTAGCTCGCTAATCTGAAAAAAATTGGGATGGACGACCAGAGAGCTTCAGTGCTATCCATTGAAAAAAATGTATATTTAGTACGCACAAAAAGTGTGCTGTTTCTCGATTTATTTAGCCTTATATTAAGCTGCCATCTCAAATTATTACTAATCGTGTTTTCCTAATATATTCTTTTACTACTTCTAAAATAAAAATGTGTGTACAAGTCATGCACGAAGCGCGTTGGACCGAAAATGGCACCCAAAATGGAAGCATATATTAAAAGGCAAATTTTTCTATGGTCTCAATTCCAGGCTTAAGAGGGCTAATAACAACCGTTTGGGGGATTTTTTTTTTTGATGTGAAAGTAATCAAAGAATATGCTTGGAGCACACGGTTAGTAACGTTTTGAGATTGCAGCTTAAATCTCAAGATTTAAAAATAGATTTAATTTTAGGTCTAAGTTTCTTTTTCTAAACTGGAAACTCGTGTAGCCCCGAATTTCCTTAACCTGTAATTGAAGTAACCTTACTAAATGGTATGTATCACAATACTTGACATAAAAATTTGCTCCACAATAAATATTAACAAAAATGAAACATTTAAGTATCTTGAACAAAGTCCCCATTGTCACCGAAAAGACAGAGTGACATATATCTAGGAATGTGCAACATACGACGAAATCAATGTCCGAGCAAGGTGTTGTTTTTGTTGCTGTGTCTTGTTTTGTTTTTCCCTCTTCTTCACAGGAATCACCCTTCACGGTAGCTCGGTCGGTAGAGTGCTCGCTCCGTGATCGGGAGGTCGTGAGTTGATTCGAATCTCGGCCGCGACTGACCTAAGTCGATAAAAAATGGGTAGCAACTGTTCCTTCGCCATGCCCTCGGCACTTTGAAGTGAAAGTTGCGGGTCCTTCGGATCGCATGAGACCTTAAAAACCGGGGCCCCGTGTCACGGCAGGCGTTGGCACGATAAAGATCCCTCACTGCTCAATGGTCATGGGTGCCGAGTAAAGGTCAAAATTTGAAGCCCTTCACCGGTATATGGTGACGTCTCTATATGAGTGAAAAATTTCTCGAATGGGACGTAAAACAACATACAATCAATCAATCAATCTCACAGAAATGAATGTCTCCCCTCTTTTATACAACTACAGTGGCGCCTCGTTTATCCGGACGCCTCTGTCCCCAACGAAATCGTCCGGATAAATGAATCGTCCGGATAATTGAATCACATATCAAAAAGCACTCTCTATATAAGCATGTATATATTGCACATTCTTGTTTCAAATGTGACAGCAAAGAAAAAAAAAACTTTTAAATTATATTTTGGTTAATTGTTTTAAAAGCAGTAATTGATTAATGAAAAAATATAGTAAAATGTAATCTACACAATAAAAAAAATGGATGGCCAATTTTATGCCGAGACCTCCTTTTTTAATTCACCTTCTCTTTGACATGTGACTTCATGGGTTGAGCAAATTTTGATCCACTGTTGTTTTATTTTGCCATATATTATAATTATTGAAACTTATATGATATGACAGAACTGTTCAGCACCATCATTGAAAATGTTCAAATATAAACTAACCCGGTATATTCCCCGTATATTTATGACACAGGGTTACTGTAAAATTAACTGAACACTTCAAACTAATCAAACAAAGTATTAAAAACATTCGTAAACACAAGCCATCTTCATGATTATCAATATTATTTTTTTCTACAGACGCTAAGTTTGAATTTCGATCATTAAAAAATACCTTGAAAAACGTAATCAACTTCTGTACGTAACGCCAGTTTTATATGTAATGGACGTTTGTAAACGATAGTACATTAGATAGAGATATTTCTTCTATTATGTACCTTTCTATACTGTCTTGTGGGAAAAAAAGCGTTTCAAATACATTTACGTTTTTTAGAAATGGAAAATCGTATTTTAAACTTACGTAATGACATGATAAAGAGCATTACGAAATCGCTCGTTATTTATTGTTCATTTTATTTACAATTCTCCAAAATTCTCCTGAATTTACCGATGTATATACGGTTAGCAATATGATTTTGAATGGATTATTATTTAATTAATGCACAGTGTCAGCTAAATTCTTTGAGCTTCATAATAAAGATAAACGTGTGATTGAATTGGGGTAAACACACGCTAATTATAGACGCTATTGTTTGTAGGTCACAGGTAACCGCCCTCAAACTGACTGCATGGCCAATGTTTTTACAACAATTAACATGAATGCAAGATAAGTGTGAAAATGTCGTTTTTGAAAAATTACCGTCCGGATAAACGAGTCATTTTTCAATGAACTATTATGTTTTGTAGTAGAAATTGACCGTCCGGATACGGAACGCGAATTTCCGGATTAATGAGACAAAATAACGTGGAAAAAATCGGTTCCCAAAAAATATCGTCCGGATGGTGAAGCGTCCGGATAAATGGCGTCCGGATAAACGCGGCGCCACTGTATACCACCTGAATATCACTACATGACCTATACAACATGATCGTGACATTCAGCGAGTTTGTTCCAAACGATGAAATATATTGGGGGTTGAAGAATACAAATAATGGCCTGGACAGACAATTTTAATTCATCAGTCTGGGAAAGCAATGAGTATTTGATACAAATCTGAAAATTAAAGGAAGTCTTGAATGTCCATCCTAAATAAGCAAAATTATGATACTTGTTGCCTTGAAAGTAAATTGAAAAAATTATTTGTTTCAAAAAGCCTTCGCTTGATTTTCTCCTTGAA